CCTAAGGTTTCGCAACACGGCTTTTCAACAAAAGCGTGCGCGCGCGCGCTCTTGCGTCGTCGTCGTCGTCGTCGCCGTCCTCCCTCCTCCCGCGTCGTCGTCATCGTCGTCGCCTACGTCGTCCTCTGTCTTTCCTCGTGTTCGTCGTCGTCGTCGTCCTCTTTGGCGTCGTGGTCGTCTCCGTCGTCGTTGTCGCCGTGGTCGTCCTTCCTCCTCCTCCCTCGTCGTCGTCGTCGTCCGTCGTCGGCGTGTCGTCGTCGTCCCTGCTATTTCGTCACCGTCGTCGTCGTCGTCGTCGTTGTCGTCGTCGTTGTCGTCTTCCCTCCTCTCTCGTCGTTGCCGTCGTCGGCGTCGCCGTCCTTCCTCCTTCTTCGTCGTTCGCGTCGTCGCCGTCCTCCCTCCTCCCTCGTCGTTGTCGTCGTTGTCGCCGTCGTCGTCGCGACGTCGTCGTCGTCTTCGTCGTCGTCGGCGTCGGCGTCGTTGCCGTCTTCGTCGTCGTCGACGTCGGCGTCGTCGTCGTCGCCGCCGTCGTCGTCGTCGTCGTCGTCGGCGTCGTTGACGTCGTCGGCGTCGTCGGTGTCGTCGTTATCGTCGTCGTCGGCGTCGTCATCGCCGTCGTCGTTGTCATCGTCGTCGTCGTCGGCGTCGGTGTCGTCGTCGTCGTGGTCGCTGTCGTCGTCGAAGTCTTTGGAGACGTCGTCGGTGTCGTCGTCGTCGGTGTCGGCGGCGCCGTCGTCGTCGTTGTCGCTGTCGTCGTCGGCGTCGGTGTCGTGGCCAAGTGCCATCGGGTACCTACCGTCACGGTCTTGTCTAAAGAGGTCTTGCGACCAAGTTGCGGGTGGGAGGGTGGGATGTTTGCACGAGCAGCGGAGAGGACAGCTTCAAGACGGTCAAGATTAATTCTCCTTTCTAAAAAAAGAATAGACCCTACCCCCCTCCCCGGACTTATCGGTTCCTCCTGGGATAATACGATCTCATGTATATATATATATATATATATATTCTGCACACTCGTTCATCCGAAATATGAAATCATACCATCCCAGCTAGGCCGGTTTCCCCCCCTGAGGTTCCCTGGTAAAAAAAACTATGCGGTGACATTTGTTGTTCTAACATAGCACTTTTTCGCAAATCCCTTGCAAAAAAAAAACCATACGAAATGCACACGCGCGCGTCGTCGCGCGCGCATGCCGAAATCCTTCCAAAACCTTCGGTGCGGGAAGGATTTCGCAATCGAGTTTCCAAAACACATACAAAATAATACAGGGTTTCGCAACACAGAGTTGCTAAAAAAGCTTCCGCGAAAACGCTTGCGAAATCTTAAGGAAACCAAAGGATTTGCAAGATATTCACAAAATGCTGCCAAACGGGCTTCGCGCGCGCTCATGTCGAAATCTGTCGAACGCCCTTGCGCGTGTGCCGTCGCGAGAATCCCCTGCAAAAAAAAGGACGAAGTGTAGACGCGCGCGTCGTCGCGCGCGTATGCCGAAAACCTTCAAAACCCATCGGTTTCGGAAGGATTTCAAAATCGTGTCTCCAAAAAACCTACAAAAAAACACAAGGTTTCGCAACACGGATTTTCAACAAAAGCGTGCGCGCGCGCTCTTGCGTCGTCGACGTCGTCGTCGCCGTCCTCCCTCCTCCCGCGTCGTTGTCGTCGTCGTCGTCGTCGCCTACGTCGTCCTCTGTCTTTCCTCGTGTTCGTCGTCGTCGTCCTCTTTGGCGTCGTGGTCGTTTCCGTCGTCGTTGTCGCCGTGGTCGTCCTTCCTCCTCCTCCCTCGTCGTCGTCGTCGTCCGTCGTCGGCGTCTCGTCGTCGTCCCTCCAATTTCGTCGCCGTCGTCGTCGTCGTCGTGTCGTCGTCGTCTTCCCTCCTCCCTCGTCGTTGCCGTCGTCGGCGTCGCCGTCCTTCCTCCTTCTTCGTCGTTCGCGTCGTCGCCGTCCTCCCTCCTCCCTCGTCGTTGTCGTCGTTGTCGCCGTCGTCGTCCTCCCTCCTTCCTCGTTGTCTTCGTTGGCGACGTCGTCGTCGTCTTCGTCGTCGTCGTCGGCGTCGGCGTCGTTGTCGTCTTCGTCGTCGTCGACGTCGGCGTCGTCGTCGTCGCCGTCGTCGTCGTCATCGTCGGCGTCGTTGACGTCGTCGTCGTCGGTGTCGTCGTTATCGTCGTCGTCGGCGTCGTCATCGTCGTCGTTGTCATCGTCGTCGTCGTCGTCGGCGTCGGTGTCGTCGTCGTCGTCGGTGTCGTCGTCGTCGTCGTCGTCGTTGTCGGCGTCGTCGAAGTCGTTGGAGACGTCGTCGGTGTCGTCGTAGTCGTTGTCGGCGGCGTCGTCATCGTCGTTGTCGCTGTCGTCGTCGGCGTCGCTGGTGTTGCCAAGTGCCATGTGGTACCCACCGTCACGGTCTTAAGAGATTTTGCAAACCAAGTTGCGGGTGGGTGGGTGGGATGTTTGCGCGAGCAGTGGAGTGGACAACTCACTGCGAACAGAAATTAATTGCACCTCGTAGATTCTCTTTTCTACAGAAAAATAAATTCTACTACACCCCTCCCGGGATTAAAGACCCCCCGGGAAACGATGCAAAACAAGTAGGACTCTGACCCAAATGTCCATCCGACCTGTGAAGGCATATATTATCTCAGCCAGGCTGGTATCGGCCCCCGCCCCCCCGCCACCCTCTGCAAAAATACAGTGCGCGCGCATTCGTTTATCCAAAATTGAAAGTTCCCAAGAAACCTTGGCAAGCAATGAAACGAAGCGCACACGCGCGCGTCGTCGCGCGCATGCCGAAATCTTTCAAAAACCATCGGCGCCGGAACGATTTCAAAATCGAGCGTCAAAACAAAACTTCTGAAAACATGGTTTCGCAACACGGATGTTCAACAAAAGCGCGCGCGCGTTCTTGCGAATTTCTTTTATATAAAAAACCATCGGTTGTTCAACATGTTCATCAACATGCTGCCAAACAGGCCTCTCGCGACGCATGCCGAAATCAGTCGAACGCTTTTGCGCGCGTGCTTGGGGGGGGGGTGCGATCCGTGCCAAATAATACCACGCGGCCACTCTCGCGCGTCGGCCGCGCACGCATGTCGAACCCCTTCCAAAACTTTCATCCCCGACGCGAGGACACCGTCATCGTCGTCGGCGTGATCAGCATCGGCGCCGTCACTGGCCGCGCCGTCGTCGCTGTCAACATCGTCAACAACATCGCTACGATCATCATCGTGTCTACCGTTGTCGACGTTGCCAAAATACCGCCGTTACCCAAGTCGCCGACTCGCACTGAAGTGCCCGCTGGGATGTGCCAAGCGGTCAGCTCCACCGCGGCCACGTCGGTTGCGCCAAACTAGGCGGCCGCTGCGCGCGCTTGCATGCGCGGGCTGGCGCGGCGGTGGGTGGGATGTTTGCGCGAGCAGTGGAGTGGACAACTCACTGCGAACATAAATGAGTTGCACCACATCGATTGCGCACCACATGTACTGCACCGCATATATAGCACAACATCGATTGCACAGCATACATTGCACTGCACATGTTGCACCACGCCGGTTGCACTACAAAGATTGCTCCATATAGATTGCACAAAGTAGCTTACACCACCTAGATTGCACAACAGAGATTGCATAACATAGATGGCACAACATAGTTAGATTGGCTCACGTAGGGACCCACCCCGACAGAAACTTGCCAGAGGAACCAGGTTTTCACGTGTCTGAAACAAAAAACACCTGCTGGCAGCGCCCCCTAACTCGCCCATGCGCCCCAAGCCGAAGATCTCGTGAAACTCTTCATTGCATCTGTGGTACAGCACAAAGAACCACTCATGCGGCAGCAAAGCCGCGCAGCTAGCATTCGTAACCGACGACGTTTTGGGGTTCAAGCACGACACGGGGAATACAGCGGGTTCTGGCAAGAAGTTGGTGCCCACGCTGGCTAACATTTGGTAGAGGTCTCTAGCGAACCGCCCGGCACTACTGACATGTCTTGCGGTGCGACGGGAGGAAATGTTTACAAGGTGGAGGGATGGATGAGGAGGAGGAGGAGGAGGTGGAGGGATAGTAGAGGGATGGTAGAGGATGGAGGAAGAGGAAGAGGAAAGCGTGGTACAGCAGGAGAGAGGGAAAGCGGAGCGAGGGAAAGGAAAGGGCGGCAACGATAAGAAAGGAATCGGATCAGGCAATGCTGCCCGCGATGGGGCGAGAGCGCCTTTACGAATCAAGCGACGGAGGCGAAACACCGATCTTGAAACGTGTCCAGTTCCGCAGCGGGAGCACCATTGTGAAGAACTGAAGGCATTTCGATATGAAAAATACGCATGGTGAGAGCCGGCGGAGCCTCCCAGGATCTCCCAGGGGTTTCCCGGAGCCTGCCTCAGGTCCCCAGAACCCTTCAGAGCCCCCTCGTCACCTGTTGCCACAGTCACTGCAGAGACAGGCTCCGCTCACAAAGTTTTGCCACCCTTGCAAAACTCGAGAGGTGATGGACCCACACGACTCTGGCAACCAAGTGCGTCCATGCTTGGCTACTACGCGCGGGGTCCGCTGGAGGGCCCCAGCTTCTGTCGGCCAGTAGGACTCCTGGAGTGGAGAGTCGAGGCCCACGGAGGAGAATGCCTTGTATTGAGTTGCTGCCCAGGAGACGGTCCATGCACGCGTAAGGCAAGCGAGTGTTGATAATGATGAGTTTTACCCACGGGCCCCAGGACCCTCGTCGTCGTCATCCTCCCATCCCCCTGGGGGAGCCTGCCGCCTTGATTAACAGCCTGGCCACCGGCCATCGGCCAGCCAAGGGCTCCCCGCCGGACCACGCGGGTGGGGTGCGTGGGCGGTGCGGGGCGAGAGGCGAGTAGCAACCGTGAGGAGGACCTGCGCGGAGGACTGGTCAGAGGGCACGACGGGGGGGGGGCACGGGGGGCATCGCACAGAGGACGGAAGGCAGAGGACGGCCAGGGGAGGAAGCGAAAAGGGGGAGGTGGGCGTCGGAGGTCTCGGCGTCGAGCGCGCCGGTGGCCTCGTCCAGCAGCAGCAAAGAGGGGCGCCGCAGCAGCGCGCGCGCGATGCTCAGGCGCTGCCTCTGGCCGCCGCTCAAGCGCGTGCCGCCTTCGCCGACGATGGAAACAACAGGAAGCAAAAACGCAACGACGACGACGACGACGACGACGACGACGACGACGACGACGACGACGACGACGACGACGGCGGCGGCGGCGGCGGCGGCGGCGACGGCTGCGGCGGCGGCGACGACCTCGACGACACCGATGCCCCGATCGGCGTTCCGTAGGCCACGCTCTGGATCAAGAGCCATCCCGGGAGCTGGGGCAATGATTTTCGTGCGTCGTGGGAAAAACCACGAAGGGCGCCTCTGTCCCGCTGATCGATGCTGCCCGAGAGCAAAATACATGGATGTGGTCGAGCGCCCCGGTCGCATTTTGTTCATGACGGCGCATTCTTTACCGGCGTCGGGTGTCGAGAGGGCAGAGGGCCAGTGGGAGCGAAACCATCGAGCAGACCGTCGCTCAGCAAAAAAGCAACCAGAGCGCCGCTGGACTCTGCGCACCTGGGCCGCCTCTGGCTGATGGCGTCTGGCTGGTGGCGTCTGGCTGCGCCGTAGATGGTCGGTCGAGCTCAGCTAGTGTCAGCCGTCCCCGAGGGGTCGAGGGTACACATTACTCTTCCTCCTCCGTGAATTTCTCTTCTGAACAACTCCCCCCTGTCGCTCTCCCAGGCGCGTCAGTAGGGCGACGGGCGGTTCGCCTGAGACTTCCTCACCATCTTTGATCCTGGAGCCTGAAAACTGCAACAGCATCAAGGATGGAGGTCGGGTCGTTTTCAAAATTAAGCTATCGCCTTCGCACCGCGCACATTCGTCTCCAAAATTAGCAACAGCGTCAAAGATGGAGGGGGCCGGTTTCAACATGGAGCTCTCGCCCTAGCGCCGCTCAAATTCGTCTAAAATATTTGCGACAGCGTCGAAGGTGGAGGGCGTTTCCATGTCGAAATAAGGCTCACGCCTTCGCGCCGCCCGACTTCGTGCTAAAAGGTTGCGACAAGTTCAATGATGGAGGGTGGTTACTGTTCAAAGCGGAGATGCCTCGCCTCAGCGCCGCCCACAAAACATGGCAGAAGTTACAGGGATGGTGGGCAGTCCTCTTTTCAAGGAGGGCCTTTCGCTTCACCCTTCTGAAGGGGCCCCAGGACACACAAATGAATACACACACATAAAAATATCCCCTATACTTTCCCATATTTTCTGGGTTTTTGTCTTCCAACCCACTTCCCATATTTTCCCATATTTTCCTGGGAATCGACGATTAATTGTGTCTGTGTGTTTTTTCCCCTCCTGACCTCCTCTTGCTCTGTTCAAGACCACATGCAGCCGCTGCACGGGCGAAGGGCGTCTCCGCTTCAACGCTGGGCGCCCGCTCCAAGGCTTCTGCACCATGACAACACCGGCGCCCGAAGATGTGGTAAAGCTGCACGGACGGCAGGCGGCCCCTCTCGATATTTTTTTTATTTTGTTGTTCTTTCTTTTTTTTGCTCTGTTCGAGAGGGGCCGCCCCCCCCGCCCCCGGGGGGGGGGGGGCGGCCCCTCTCGATCTTGGGCTCTCGCTTGAGACTTCCTCGACGCCGATGGCCGGAAGGGAAACCTTCTGCAAAAGATACGCAGGCGGGAGCGGTCCCTTTCCAAAACGGGGCTCTCGCTAGACACCGCGCTGAATTGCATGATCGTGCCATTACGCGTTCCTGAATACTCGCTGGACGGATGGAAGGATGCAAGGGAAGTTCGTTCCTTCTCAAAACGCGGCTCTCGCATGAAAAACAGGCCCATCGGGTGCTGGTCTTTCAAGGGGGCGGTTCTTGAAGTGGGAGAGACAAGCTTCTGGGGACTCGTGGGGAGGGGACCTGGGACGGGAGGGCGTGTCGGGTGTGCTGCAGCGTCGTGGGTACGTCCTGGGCTTGCTCTGGTCCGTCTCCTCGTCATCATCCGCCACGGCCGGCGCTCAGCGTGGTGGAGGGCCCCTTCGGCCTGGCCGGGGTCCTGCTGGCTGCCTCCTGTGGAGGGGGGCCCGTCCCCAAAGGGAGGCGGCGCCGCTGGGCTTAAGTCGGGCCTGTCCCCCTGCAGGGGATGTGTTATTTTTCGAAAATAATCAGAAAATAGTCCAAAAATAGTCTGCGGACTATTTTTCGAATACTTTTTGACCTTTTTGGTGCATTTTTGGGGTATTTTTTATTTTTTGTCGAAAATCCCCCTGCAGGGGGACACGACCGACCTAACGCTGGGCCTTCGCCGACGATGGACTCGTAGCCCGCGTCCATCTCCGCGATGAACTCGTGCGCGTTCGCCATGCGGGCCGCGCGCTCCATGTCCTCCACGGAGACGCTGCCGGGCTCCAGGCCGTAGGTGAGGTTCTCCCGGATGGGCCGGCAGAACACCTTCGGGGCGGCAGAAGCCAGAGGGACTGTGAGGTTCGACCAGCTCCTCCTCCTCCTCCTCCTCCTCCTCCTCCTCCTCCTCCTCCTCCTACTCCTCCTCCTAGTCGTCGGCGTCGTCGTAGTCGCCATCGCCATTGCCATCGTCATCATCATCATCATCATCATCATCATCATCATCATCATCATCATCATCATCATCATCATCATCATCATCATCATCATCATCATCATCATCATCATCACATCATCATCATCATCATCATCATCATCATCATCATCATCATCATCATCATCATCGTCAGCATCATCATCATCAGCAGCACCATGATCATCATCATCATCATCAGCCACATCAGCAGCATCATCATCACCATCATCGTCATCATCATCGTGATCATCATCAGCAGCAGCAGCATCATTATCACCATCAACATCATCATCATCATAATCATCACCATCATCACCACCATCATCATCACCACCACCACAATCATTATCATCAGCAGCAGCATCAGCATCATCATCATCATCATCATCATCATCATCGTCATCATCATCATCAACAACATTGCCATCATCATCACCACCATCATCATCATACTCATCCTCATCCTCATCCTTATCCTCATCGTCATCATCATCGACAACAACATCATCGTTGTCGTCGTCGCCGTCATCGTCATCGTCATCGCCATCGTCATTGTCATCGACAGCAGCAGCAGCAGCAGTAGCAGTTTCATCACCATCATCCCCCTGGCAGTGTCGCGTTCTGGTGATTGTTGCACGAGCAACGGCTGCTGGGCCTGCCGAGTGAGACTGGCAACGGACGCATTATGGGCGGCATTCAGCCGATAAAACCATTCAGCGGCCGCCTACGCTAAGGCGACAGAGTTGCTGTGCCCGCTTAGACGGGGACGAGCAGCTGGGGTAGAAGGAGACGAGGAAAGAGGAAGGAGGACAAGGAGGAGGCCTGGGCCAACCAAGGAGGAGGCAAAGGCTCAGAGGTGGGAAAAGCGCTTCGCAGTCACACGCCAGAAGCTGCGGGTGGACCTCAAGGAGGAGGCCGCAGCGCTGGAGATCCACGTCCTGGAGAAATTGCTGCGCAAGCTGGCACCTATCGTGGAGCAGGCGGTCCAGAGGGCGGTGCGCGAGGCGCTGGCGTGGCACCCGCACGCCACGGTGGAGGCGAAGGGCGAGTCGGCCTCGCAGCCCTCGAGTCTCCGGGGAGGGAATCGTCCCCGTGCTGGGAGGGCTCCCCGAGCCACTGTCCACCAGGGAGCCCGCCGCCGAGGTAGAGCGGGCGTGCGGCTGCAGTGCGAGGGGAAGGCGCTCCCGCACTTGAAGCGGGAGCTGGCGGCCCCGTGTGGGGACTTCAGACGAGTCCACGCCGCAGGGGAGTCCGCTGGGGATGGCTCCCAGGGCATCGCGCGTGCCCTCTCGCGGCGCGAGCAGCTCGCCGCATGGGGGGGAGCCCGACACAGTGCCGCTCGGCCGCGGTGCGAGCAGGAGCTCACGGGCGCGCGACGGGGAAGTCGCTGGAGTCGCCACCGCGGGTGCGGCCTGCCCGGCGCCAGCGGAGCCGCAGCCGCAGGCCGCAGGGCGGCGCCGCGAGCGGCGGGGAAGGAAGAGGAAGCGGAGGAGTCGCGCCCTGCGCCTCGCACTGCGCCGCGCTCTGGTGGCGCGGCCAGCTATGCCAGGTCAGCTGCTGGGCCTCCCGCAGCGGCCACGGCGACGTGGTGGGCGGACGCCAGAATTGCCCCGCGCCCACGGTCCGTGAGGGGCAGGGGGGATGCGGGCTTTGTCGAGGACGGCCTGGCGTTCGAGGGCGTCGTCGATGGAGGCCTGGACCCGAGTTGCGCCAGCTGTCCGGAGGACGGCGGCAACTTCGACTGGCCCGTGGACAGCTGCGTGGTGGAGGCGGGGCCGCGCAAAAGAGGCCGCGAGGAGCAGGGAGGCAGGACACGCCGCCCCTCGCGCCGCCGCTGGGCGGACGAGGAGAATGCCATCGAAAAGCTGGACTTCGTGGATCCCCTGGCCTCGCCCGCGCTGGGCATGCTCGGATGAGCCAGGGCCGTCACCCGCGCGAGAGTGGCGGCTCGCCTGCACACGGGCCCCACGCGTCCGTGCCGAGCTGGGGAAAGCACGGCCTGTCCCTCAGCGGGGTGGGACCGCTCTCGGCCGCGGGCGCACCCAAGAAGGGGAATGGAGGAGGCACCGCGTGCGGAGGGCGGGCTCGAGAGCGTCGCCGCCTTTGCCCGTGCGCGGTCGGATCGCCTCCGAGCGAGAGCGCATCGGCGAAGCGCCATGCCAAGTGCTGCACGCGTTGCTCTGGGCTACTTCCAGCTCAGTTGATCGAGATTTCCCTCGACGCCGCGGCAGGCACGCTTCGTAGTGGCCGAGGCGCTGTGGGTGCAGCTGCGGCCGCCGCGGCTGCTCGTTTCGAAATCCCGCGTGCGCATGCGAGGGGCGCCATTGGGCCCTACCGCGGAGGACATCCCCCTCGCTCCTCCATGCTGGACGTGCGTAGCTGTTCCTCCCCCTCCCCAAGGAGACGAGAGGCCAACATCTCTACTGATGTGGTTCGGGTTGCCCTTCATATCTTATCACCGTCCCTCTTCTTCCTAACTGCTCCCGCCTTCCTGCTCTTTGATCCCGCCCTCTTCCTCACCCTCCTCATCATCATGTTCCTCCTCACAGATTCGCCCCCCCCACCTTTTCGTCACCTCCCTCTACTCCCCCCAGATCCTCCTCCTCATCATCCTTTCCATCCCCATTCCTCCTCATCCCCCCCTTCCCGTTCCACGACCACCACCACCACCACCACCTCCTCCTCCTCTTCCGCCTCCTCCTCATCCGCCTCCGCCTCCGCCTCCGCCTCATCCGCCTCCACCTCCGCCTCTTCCTCCTCCCCCTCATCCTCCTCCTCCTCCTTCTCTTTCTCCTCCTCCTCCTCCTCCTCCTCCTCCTCCTCTCCTCCTCTCCTCACCTCTTCCCCGTTCCCTTCCCATTCCCTCCTCTTCCCCTTACCCGTCCCGTTCCCGTTTCCGTTTCCCCTTCCCTTCCCCTTTTCCTCCTCCTCCTCCTCCTCCTCCTCCTCCTCCTCCTCCTCCTCTTCTCTTCCTCCTCATCCTCCTCCTCTTCTTCCTCCTCCTCCTCCTGCTCCTCCTCCTCCTCCTCCTCTTCCTCCGCCTCCTCTTCCTCCTGATTACACCCCCGCTCCTCCACCCGGTCCTTTCCTCCCCTCCCTCATTTCCCCTGCCGTCCTCCCCCGTCCGCACCATGCTTTTCCCCTCCAGACCACGAACCAATTGTCCACGGGCGCCTTCAAGAATGATAATAACAAACAAGGTAATCCCCCACAATCATGTAGAATAACAACATATAATGAAAAGATAATTAAGAATATATAACAACAAGTAATAATAATAATGATAATAGTAATAATGATAATAATAATAATAATAATAATAATAATAATAATAATAATAATAATAATAATAATACGAATAATAATAATAATAATAATAATAATAATAATGATAATAATAATAATAATACTAATACTAATACTAATAATAATAATAATGATAATAACAATAATAATAATGATAATAATAACAACACTAATAATAACAATAATGATAATAATAATAATAACAATATATATATATATATATATATATAAGGTAATCGTACGATAGAGCTGGCACTACCCGTCCTCTCCCCCATTCCCCGGGGTGGGCGCGCAGCTCTCCGCCCCTGTAACGAACGTCACTGTGCCCGAGCACCTGGGTGTCCTGCGACACCACCCCGATCCTCCTCTGGTGGTCGCGCAGCCTGGGCGGCGGGAGGTCGCCCCGCCGGCCCTCGACTCGGAGATGCCTTCGCCCTCTGCTCCTCAGAGTCCCCCTCCTCCTCCTCATCCTGATCCTTCTGCTGCTCGTGTGTGCGCTTCTTGTTGTGACCGTCCTCCTCCTCCTCCTCCTCTTCCTCCTCCTCCTCTTCCTCCTCCTCCTCTTCCTCCTCCTCCTCCTTCTCCTCCTCCTCCTACTCCTCTTCCTCCTCCTCCTACTACTTTTCCTCCTTCTCCTCCTCCTCACCACCACCACCACCACCACGGATGATGTTTAAGCTGATGATACGCACGAGCTTCACGGATGGAGGGCGAACCGACCACTTTCAACATGTGGCTCTCGCCTTAGCGCCGCGCGCATTCGCCCTAAACGTTTGTAATAGCTCCACGGATGGAGGACTGGCCGCTTTCAAAATGCGGTGTCGCTTTAGCGCGGCGCACACTCGTCTTAAACGTTCGCAAGACTTTCACAGATGGAGGGAGGTCCGCTTTCAAAATCCGGTTCTCGCTTTAGCGCCGCGCACACTCGTCTAAACATTTGTAAGAGCTTCACGGATGGAGGTCAGGACGCGTTCAATAAGGGGCTCTCGCCTTAGCGCCGCGCACATTCGTCTTCAGCGTTCGCAGGGATTTTACATATGGAGGGCGGTCCGTTTTCAAAATGTGGCTTTCGCATTAGCGCCGCGCGCATTCGCCTTGCATTAGGGAAGAAGCTTCACAGGTGGACGGCGGCTCCTTTTTTCAAGCTGCGGCTACCGCCTCAGCGCCGCGCACATGAGTTTGACACATTTGCACAGGCTTCAGGGACGGAGGGCGGCCCGCCTTCAAGATGCGGCTCTCGCCTCCGCGCCGCGCACGTTCGTTTTCAAAGATGAATACAGGGGCTTCACGGATGACGGGCGGCTCCTTTTCAAAAAGCGGTTCCCGCCATAGCGCCGCACGCATTCATTTTGGAAGTTTATTCATTCATTCAAGGGTTGTCGCCATAGCGCTGCACGCATTCATTCATTCATTCAAGGGTTGTCATGCCTACCGTTTCAGAAATAATATTTTGGTACGATGTCGGACTCTCAGGGCGCAACAGTTAGGTTGAGTTGGTGCGTTGAAGTCCCAGGAATTAGTGTTACAATGGCAAGATTCAGAATCGTCAAAGCGCAGCAGTAACGTTGATTCGTGACCTTGAAGTCCCAGGAACGGTTTTCTGATGCGCTCTGGCAAAACTCACAATTTCCAAACGCTGGTCTTCCAACGGGGCACCCTCGATGATGATGATGAACCCTTGTAAGGGCCAACGAAGAGGGAAGCTGCGCAACCACCCAAAAGCATCGCAGGAGGAGGCAGGAGGAGGGGGGGAGGAAAAAAAGGAGTGGATACCACAGTGCTCTATGAAAAACAAGAACCCAGCACAGCAAGGTTGGGAAACAGACGCCGCTCACCTAGTTATGCATGACCAGTGGTACGCTGGCACTCAGCGAGCCCTACCCTGCCGCAGGCAGGACTGACGAGGTTGTCGCTGGACGCCTGTCGCGGGCGCGCTCTCTCGCCAGACCCCCCAAGGACATGGGGGAAACCACAGGACCGACCGGACAGAAGAGGGGGGAGAAGGAGGCAAGCGGCAAGGGGCCAGGCCAGAAAAGGAGAGCGGGACGGTGGGAAGAGAGAGAAAGAGAAAGAAAGAGAGCAGTCGCGGAAGGCCCTCCTAGGCCCTCCCCTCCCAACTCCCCTACCGCGCCATACCTTCAAAGACGGGCCCCCCAATCGACCGCTTCTTCGCGGACCCCGACCACTTTTGACAGCGGACCGGCGGCAAAAAGGACAAACGACCGATGACAACGCTGCGCAGCGCCACTGTCATTGGCGAAAGATAAAACCTGTCCCTCGAGTGGCCAAAATGATTCCCTATCTCGCGGCCCCCGACCAGTCACTGGTCGAGGCGGCCTCGGGCGTCCCCGGTGCCCACCCGACCTCCGCGGCCTCGCTGGCGCCACCGGCGGCGCCTCGCCAGCCCTGGTGCGCCGCTGCTCCAGGCATGCGGCGCCGCCCGCGGCGCGGGCCCGGGTGCGCAGGCCAGCCCCGACGGGAGTGATCCCCCCGAGAACGGTGGCGACGTCACCGACGAGGGGCACCAGAGCAGAAGGCGGCGAGGGCCAGGGCGGCGCCGACCACCACCACGACGAGGACGAGGACGAGGACGACGACGAGGACGACGACGACGACGACGACGACGACGACGACGACGACCACGACGACGGCGGCGACGACGACGACGACGACGACGACGACGACGACGACGACGACGACGACGGTGGCGGCGGCGGCGGCAGCGGCGGCAGCCGTGACGGCGGCGCTAGCGAGGGAAAGAAGAGGAGAAGGATGAGGAGGAAAAGGAGGAGGAGGCGGAGGAGGACCAGGATGAGGAGCAGGAGGAGGACCAGAGCAAACCCAGGATGCACCAACGCTGCTGCAAGGCGCCCGCCGGTCCCAGGCGCCCTCCTCGTCAATCCCTACAAGCCCTCCCTTTCACTGGAAGCGCCCCCCGCGGATGATGAGCGCCCTCTGGGCCTGCCACTCGGGCGGCAGGGGCCTGCCGTTCCGGCGATGGCCCCGTGTGGAAACGGATGCGGCACATCTCGGCGAAGACTGGCAGTGCCCATTGCCACTGCCCGCGTGTGCTGCAAGCGCTGATGCCCACGACGCGATGGTTTGGGACACGCTTCGCGCGTGGGACAATGAGGGTGCTGCCCTCAACTTCTTCGCCCGACCAGGCGACCTCATGTCCACCTCGGAACGCAGCAGCATCTTCTCGAGGCCCTCGCTGGCTGCGGAACGCACAAGGCAAGAGTGGCTCGCTGCGCTTACGCGCTGGAGCGGCTGAGCAAATCTATTCCGGCTCTACGACTCCTGCTTGTCATTCCTTCTTCGCTATTCGCGTATACTCCTACTTTGCCATCCGGCCGGCCGAGAGCGGCCGAGTCCGGGACGCCCCGCCCGCCGCCCGACCAGAGAAAAACAAGACTACTAAGACGACGATGTCGCGGTCCACATGGACTTTATGCCGTCCACGTCGTAAGGTGCGCGGCAAGAGCGGGGCGGATGGGGCGCATATCCCGCGCGAAGGGGCGAAGTATCGCTCTCGCCTCGGCGCCCCGCTGGCGTTCCAAGGGAATTGAGCTCCCACGCCAGTGCGTCGAAGCGCGCGCAGACGAAAATGTCCTCCTCGCCTCGGCGCCGCGCAAATTTCACCTGAAAGTGGCACTCCCGCTTCGGCGCGGCGCATACTTGTCACCCGCCAAGATTTGGGCCCCCCCAAAAAAACGGGCGTATTGTCGTTGTCGCCCAATCTCCGTGCACACTTCGTTTGCGAGTGGCGTTCCCGCGCGGGCGCGGCGCATGTTTCCTCTGCCGAGTCGCGCGAACGCGGCAGCGGCAGCGGAGCAGGGCCACGCGAGAGCGGGCGAAATGCTGTCCTCGCCCAGGCGCCGCGCTGTGTGTGTTTGTATTGTGTGTTGTGTGTTGTGTGTTGTGTGTTGTGTGTTGTGTGCTGTGTGTGGTGTGTGGTGTGTGATGTGTGGTGTGTGGTGTGTGGTGTGTGGTGTGTGGCGTGTGGCGTGTGGCGTGTGGTGTGTGGTGTGTGGTGTGTGGTGTGTGGTGTGTGGTGTGTGTGTGTGCGTGCGTGCGTGCGCATGTGTGTGTGGTGTGTGGTGTGTGGTGTGTGGTGTGTGGTGTGTGGTGTGTGGTGTGTGTGTGTGTGCGTGCGTGCGTGCGCGCGTGTGTGTGTGTGTGTCTGTGTGTCTGTGTGTCTGTGTGTGTCTGTGTGTGCCTGTGTGTCTGTGTGTGTCTGTGTGCCTGTGTGTCTGTGTGATTGTGTGTGTCGGCAACGGTCGATCGCAATTAGCACATCCATTTGCTGCTCGCGCCTGGGGATCCTCTGCGCTGCCGACTTAACAAAGTGTGCGAGAGAGAGAGAGAGAGTTAAGTGCGTGGGTGTGTGTGTGGGGGTGTATATGTCTGTGCGTGTGTGTGTGTGTGTCTGTGCGTGTGAGTGTTAACAAATCGCAAGGTGGCGGTACCTCTTCCTCCACCGACCACGAGGGGAGTTCCCTGCAGCAAGCGAACTGTGCACAGACACCGACCCTGGCCAGGACCATCGGGAGCCCAGGACCGGTGCACGCGCCCTCCTGGCCCGGCCAGGAAGACGCACGCGCACCGGCTCTGGGCCCCAGGCGCACGTGGCCCAGGTCGGCGTGCGTGGGCACAGCTCCCTTCCTCCGGCACCGCGGGCGGAGAGCACGTCCGTGCCCACGGCCTCGCGGGCCCCGCTCCTGGGCCGCGACGACCCCGCGGGCACGGGGGTCGCTCCCTCGCGGGCGCCCCGCGCGGGACGCGCCCGTGCGACCGCGCATCCGCGGGGTCGCGCCCTGGGATCCGAACCGCCAGGGCGCGGAGGCGGGCAGGCTCGCCGCCCGGGACGTGAGCTGCCCCGCTGGGTGGCGACGTCCGGACGCGACCCCCACAGTCCAGCGACTCCCCTGAGAAGCGATGGGGCGCCCTGGGAGGGCTCGGGTTTCGCCGCCGGCCCGTGCGGCCGGTACTGGGTGAGGCTGCGCCCGTTCAGCAGCACGTCGCCCGCCTGGGGGTCGTAGAAGCGGAGCAGCAGGCCCAGCAGCGTGCTCTTGCCGGCCCCGCTCCTGCCGACGATGGCCGTCGTCTGCCCGGGCGGCGCCTTGAAGCTGAGCCCAGAGAGCACCTTCTCGAGGGGGCAGCACACGGACCGAGTATTCTGGGGCACGGGAGGACATCCTGGTAGGATGTGTCCTCCTTGAAGGCGTGCGTCCGACCGGAGCATCCAACATAGAATCTTGCAGCGCAGCGCTTCTCGAGCGGCATGGCCAGAAAGCACCCGCCAAGGAGCTTATACTATACGTTGTTCGAGCGTGCGCGCTGCCCCTGCGGGGCCGACGCCCACATAGAAGAAGCATGGTTGGGTGGTGCCGATCTCGGGCGGACAATACTCGAGCAGGATATTCGAACCCTCGCACACTTGAGGGGGATTTCGATCACCCCCCACCGCCCCCGAAATCTGTGAACATTTCAGCATGCGTGATGGCGTTTGGGGTTCGAAAGCTTCTGTCCACCCAGGCCCCCTCGATATTAAGTTGAAGGGCCGGGGGGCCCATATTGCGCCGTAGGTACGCACCCTTTGCCCATGAGGGGAAGGGAACCACAAATCGGAGCTCGAAAAAGTGTCTCTCGTTAGGAGGCAACTTCCGGGAGGTCTGCCAAAGAACGATCGAGGGCAGCTCAGCCCGCACAAGAGGCAACTGAGCTGGATCAGCCCAGGTGAAGCCCAAAGTTAATACAAACTAGGCCGGATTTAGCAAGAGTAAACAAGCAAAACTGAATGGGAATGTACCGGATTAGCCCCGGTTTCGACCACGGATGTGCCAGCGTCGATGCTGAATTTTTCACCTCCCAGAAGTTGCATCCCATCTTCTGGATTCCAGCCTCTGGGGGCAGGCTTCGAGCCCCCAGGCCATCGACAATCTGTTCAGGATGGTGGCATGGCCTGGATGGACCATGGAAGCAGTCCCGGGGCCGATCTTGAACACCTCTGTCATCGGAGGTGCACATGCGCGCGGGGGCGAGTGTTAGCCGTCCGCGGCGCTCGGAGGGGGGCACAGGCGGGGAACAACAGGGCTTCGGGCCCCTTCGGGTCCCCAGCTCTGGCCGAAACTGGCACGCTCCCGCAAAAACGCCAACCGCTGACGCGCCCAGCGTTCCCGTCGCCGTCCAGCTGGCCTGCTTCCCCATGCGCATCTGGTACGCGAAGTGCACGCCGCAGAACTCGACGGAACACGGTCCCGCCTCCACCGCCTCGCCCACATCCAGGGGGATGTCGGGCTCCAGATCCAGGATCTCGAACACCCGCTGGCCAGCCGAGACGCCTCGGATCACCTGATTCATCACGCCGTTCAACCCCTGGATCGCCTGGTTCATCATGTCCCAGTAGAGGTTAAACGTTATGAGCTTGCCAACAGTGAGGGTCTCCCCGTCATTTTCGCCGCTGTCTCCGCCAGAGAGCACCGCATGGCCACCGTACCACAGGATCAGGATGGTCGCGGCGAAGCTCAGGTAGCCGGTGATGGCGTTCACCCCGGCGGACATGATGGCGTCCACTTTCGCGAAGCGGGAGGCGCCTACAGGACGAGGTCTCGATCGAGGAGGAAGAGGAGGAGGAAGATGAGGAGGAGGAGGATGTTGTTAACACAAACGTGTTAGCACGTTACTCGTCAATCCTTCCTGCCAATTCGACGGCTGTGCTCAAACAAGAATTTTACCGCAAAGCTCCGTTTTTCCTGATGTCGGCTTTGTCACAGAACCTCATCTTGGGCGAGTTCCTGCGGAGTCATAGGCTTCGACCGCGTCTCAGGAGACCCACCGCTTCTAAGGACACAGAGGACCCAGAGGGAAAGGCCGAGCGTCCCGAAGAAAACTCCATCCACAATCATCGACGGGCCCCCGCACTGTGCGAGAGGTCAGCCGTGAGACGCGCAGAGGCGGTGAAATTCGCCACCTCGGAGTCCGAGGGCAACCATCCGCCTGACCCGCTCCGTTTGTTGTGGAAGAGGGAACAGAAGTGATGAATGATAGCGACGCATCGCAGCCGAGGAATGGAGCAAGGACACAGGGAGGAGAGGAGGTGGAGGAGGAGGAGGAGGAGAAGGAGGAGGCCCCGAGGCAGCCATTGGCAGCCCCCACAGACTCTCAAAGCGTTCGAGAGGGAGGGGGCTGGAGGGGGGGGGTATAGAGGGCAGGAGGGGGGTTGATAGAGGAGGAACATGCACAGAGGAGGAGGTGGAGGAGGAGGAGGAGGAGGAGAAAGAGGAGGAGGGGCAGAAGCAGGGGAAGCACGAGGAGGAGGAGGGTGCCGTCGATGTGCCCGTCGAAGATCGACCTCTCGAGCCCGTCGGCGGCGAAGCTGCGGACCGTGCGCACGTTGCGGAGGGCCTCCTGTGGGCGCGCAGCGGGAACGCGCAGACGTTCGTGCCGCGCGGCGAAGCTCGGTCGGGCCCTGGGCCACGGCGTAGACGACGGGGACGCCCACGAGTTTTTCCCCAACCGCCGAATGATGTTCCTCAGGCTAGGGCGGCGGCCAAGCCTGACGCTGCAAGGCTGCCCGCGTACTTCGAGGTGTGGCAGCCCGCCACTTGTTCAGCGGACCGGGCGGGAGAACGGGTCGGAGCGGTAGGGACCCCCCCGAGGGGGGGGGAGGAGGAGGAGGAGGAGGAGGAGGAGGAGGAGGAGGAGGAGGAGGAGGAGGAGGGGAGGAGGACGACGAGAAGGAGGTGGAGGAAGAGGAGGAGGAAGTGGAGGAGGAGGAGAAGATAAAGGAGAAGGAGGAGGAGGAGGAGGAGGAGGAGGAGGAGGAAGAGGAGAATGAGGAGGAGGTCCAGCTCCGCTCCTGCCGGGCCCCCTCGTGCTCCTCGCGGAGCCGTTGACAGAGCAAACCCCCGTATAGACACCTCTTGGGGGGCGCCGTGGCCCGAAACTTCCCGGCGGGAGCCCAGCCGTGGCGCCGAGAAGCCTCCCGGGAGCTCCCCAAAAAGGCCTCCCGAAAGAGCGCCAGAACGCCCAGGAAGGGCCCCCCACGTTCCCCTGAGGTCCGGGCTTGGCGGAGCAAAAAACAGGCAGCATCGCCAATCACGACCAGAGCCCCAGACCCCATCTTCCTGCGGCCTTCCTTCTTCGAGCCCGATCCCCCTGCGAGGGCCCAAAGGCCCGACATGGAGCGAAATCGCCCGGTGCGAAACAGTGGCGGCGCCAGGATCGCAGGGCCTCCTGGGCCCCTTTCGTCACGGCGACATGCGCCTCCTCGAGCCCGATCCTCCCCGCCACGCTGGGCGGCGTGCGGTCCTGGGCCACCCCGTTCGCCTCGGCGATGCCCTCGCGCTGCCTCCGGTTGACCTTCTGTGACCACCTCGCGTACAGGCGCGTGATACCCGCCGCCGCGGTGCACGGCGAGTTCGTGTCGTGACGACGTCGGCGTCGGTTTCTGACACCGCGCGGATCGCCCAGCCTCCAAAGATCGGCGGAGTTTTACCAGCCTCGAACTTATCCCTATCCCTGAGATTGACACGCCAATCTTAGGGATGCGCCCTCAAAAAATAAGGGAATCCCTAAGATTGGCATCGTGATGAGGAGGTGCCCAGCATAGGGATAGGGATATGCTCCAGGCTGGTAAGAGTTCGAGTAGCCAGGCCGTTCCATATCGAGCGATTCTTGGGCGCAGGTCGCCAGCTCGGCGGCGCGCCCGGGGGGAGGTGACGGGGGGCAGGCCTGCTCAGAGGGCGGCGGGGCTCTGCAGAGGCCCCCTTGGCCTTCCCAGGAGCCGTCTCTGGTTTCGGGGAGGGCCCAGGAAACTTCTTGGAAGGCCCGAGGCCTTCCGAACCTCCTGCGCATCGGGGGCGCCCAGGGGGAGGGGCGCCCAAGAGGAGGGGCGTCCAAGACGGGGGGGGGGGGGCGCAAATCATGGCCAGCGGCACGTGCGCGGCCCAGGGGGGGGGTCCAGGGAACGCACAAAAATAAGAAGAGGCGCCATGAAAGCTTGGGAGATATCAGTCGAGTAGGGGATCGACTACAGCAGTGATGTACCCAAAAATTCAACTGTTCGTTGAATCTGCGAAGGGTACGTAGAATGTCCGTAGATCTGCGAACACCCCAC